TTCGAGGACATCAGGGCGGACGCTCAATTGTCTTCAGCTTCAACCTTCTCAAAATGCGAATATTTAACCATCTCTCATTTCCTAACTAAGTATCGTAAGAAAGGTTTTCTGCAACAGAATAAAATATCGGCTATGAGCCTATCGGGATGATAAAATATGGCTTTCAGAAACGGAGGGCACGACAACGCTGCCTCACCGTCACTGACCGTGACGGGCTACCAATCTCTTCCGGCCGATCACGTGGACCAAGTCGTGTATCTACTTCAACGCTAGTAGTAGCTGGATGGCGGTGCCAGTAAACGCCATGGTACCCAGCGCGTACGCTGGGCTGCAAACGGATGGTACCGTATGACATCCTCTCGCGTGGAAATCACGTTCAATGACGGCAATGGCGACTGGGACAACAACATCAACGACAACTATGCTTGTACGCCGCCGGGTACTTACGCATTCGTGAACCAGGTCACCAAAATAGAGAGTGACAGTGACTGCGTGGAGATCGTGGACAAGAACTCGAAAATACTCAGATTCCAACAGGTTGAAGACCAACGCAGTGTACCCGACGACCACAACCGTACGGGCATTGAACGATGCCATCGTCTTGCAAAGAAGGAAGGGTGATTACCAGAAACCATCTTGAAGTTGTCTCGAGTACTCTCTCCAATGCCGTACACGCTAAGATTGCTGCCCAGTGCTGTCGCCACCTGCAGATACTGGTCTTTCGCCACCAGCGAGATACCAGAGAGTCGGAGAGCGTGTAGCCGTCAGAGTTAATCGAGTACAGCGGGTCCAGACGTCGCCGTGTTATTCGTTCCACGAGTACCGATGGTGAACAAGCTTCTACATCCAATTCGATAGCGTAAACTATAGTCTCCACCGGCACGCCGAACATCAACTGCAAAGCCGACGGAGGCTGGCGTCGCCAAGTCCGCCAGCAACCCTCTCCCCTTCTAACGACGGCTGGTTCCAGCTCGATGTCCCTCACACGAGTTCGTCTTCAACAACGGCGTCGGCGTTGTCTGGGACAACAACAATGCGAACTACAAGGTTTCCTCAGTTGGCACCTACTCCGTCGTCAGCAAGGTCTCCGGTTTGAAGACAGGTGACCTCGTACTCCACAATAGCAAGATCCACACTCAACCCGTCCAGGTTAACACCCTGAGCAACCCAGCCACAAAGCTGTCGCACAGGCCAGGTTTGTACCAAGTCTATGAACTTGAAATCGTCGCGTATTTTACTTCTGCTACTGTCGAGTCGGATTTGGTTATGAACGTGTTGAGGTATCAAAGGGCAGTGCTGGTAACGCAATGGTGCCAGTTGGGGTGTTTGCCAAACATCCCGACTGCAATGGGCTGGAGACCGAGGTTGCAGCGACTGCACAGAATTTGGTGAATGTTACGAAAGCGAATTACTAGTAGGAAATAAACGTTATAACCCGGAACGCATGTGACTTCAACATGCATCTGGCCTCCTCATTAAATAATCTTTGTTGGCTCTAGGTCCTTGTCGTATTGAACTCTTTACAAAGCAATTGAGCCTGGTATGCATCTCGACAGATGAGTCAAGTGCCGTTGCTAGTGTGACATAGTACTATTTTATTAAGCGTTGATGCAATAGCTACCTGGTATGCATATCCTCCGGTGGTGAGGTGATTCCTGCCTTCTGTAGCAGCTTCGAGTTGAGCTCTGCCTCCAATAGGGTCATGCCGTACTTGTCCTCTTCAGCTCTGCGCCTCGCGTCCTCACTCATCTGCTGCCGTACCAGTTTTTGGTACTCGAGATTGCGTTGATGTACCTTTTCCTTCGCTGCAACCTGCTCCTGTTGCCACGACTGGAAGTCTGCTTTGAACTTGCTGGCGTAGTCAGCCTCCTCTCGTTCCAGCACATGTCGTCGGGACTTTTTCTCTTCCTTCTGCAGCGTCAAGGCCTGCACTTGCTTTCGAGCAGCTTCGCGCTTCTTCCGTTCCTTAAGCTCTAGCAGCTCAGCTTCTCGAGCTCGCACAGCCGCTTGCACTGCCAGTGCGCGTTCCTCGTCCTCCCGTGCCTTCTCCTCGGCGCTCTTTACGTTTAGAAGCGCTAGCTTCACCTTGTGGCTCTGCTTGACAAGGATCGCATCGAGCTCTGCACGGCGCGCGGCCTCTTGCATCTCGAGCTTCTTCTCGTAAGCTCTTTGCAGCTCGCGGTCTTGTCGTTGTTCCCGCAGTACGGCCTGGCGTTTAAGTTCCAGCTGCTGCGCATTAGCTTGTTTGACTCGGACGACTTCTTCCATGTCAGCAGCTTTGCGCTCCGCCTTGCGGCGCTTCTCCATTTCGTCCAGCATGCGAAATCTCTCCAACACGCGACGCTCATTACGTTCCTTCGTTTCTTGTGCCACTCGAACAGCCTCAGCTTGCGCTTGGAGATCTTGCTGCCAACGCTGAGCCTCCAGCACCACTTGATCCTGACGCTGCTTCTGCTTGGCCTTCTCTTGTTCACGCCACGCAGCCTGCTGAGCTGCTTGCGCTCGAGCGTAGCCATCAGCCACAGCCTTCTCGTCCAAACGTTTGCGCTGTTTGTCGGCTTCTTGTTGTGCGAGCCGCTCGCGATACTCGGCCGCTGCCGCCAACCGCTTGCGCTCTGCTTCCTCCTTGGCCTGCTGCACCTCGGCCACCTCCTGCTCGAAGATCTACGACGCCGACACAGATTTTTGCCAGTCGAACCACATGGGATGAGAAGATACAAATGATTCCGTCGCAGAGCCAAGTGAGACTTACCGGCACCCAGAGATTCGGCGGCTGCTTGCGAGGAGGGCGGCGCACAGGACCAAAGCGCTCTTCATCGTAGTCGTCATCTGCGCTATGCGGTTTCTGCTGAGATTGATCTTCGTGGTTGCTGGATACTGATGTCCCAGACACCTTGTGATTGTTGTTGCTAGTGACGTGATGAGGCGCTGAGCGGGCTTTCGACGGCAGCTGCCGCTCTCGATACGCAACGCGCGCCAGCTCTTCGCCGACGTGACGCAGGATGAGACGTCGAGCGGTAGGCGCGGGTGCGTATTGAGACTGGCAACGAGCCTTGATCTCCTGTATGTGCTCACGAGCCCTGGCGTCGCGCTCATGCTGGGCTTCGAGTGCCTTCGCGCGTTGGTGCTTCACGGCACGGCTCTTCTCGACGAGAGTTCGCTGAGCTTG